TTTAAGAAGGCCGAAGATCTTCTGGCTACTGCCACTAAATTCAAGACTATTAAAGTAGTCTCGGATAAAACAACTAACCAAAGGCAAGCAACCAAGAACTCCTTCGATAGAAAGTTGACCACACCGAGAACTACACCTGGTATCAGTGCTAAAGTGTCGACGGACACTGAAGCACAGCAAGTCACCTGTATAGTGTTGGAAAAAAAATCGGCAAGTAAAAGCGACTCGAAACTCAGTAAGAGCAGTGTCACTGGGTGCAATCCTAAAGTACATGAGAGCACATCTGGAAAACCTGCTGACATACATGAGGTTGATATTGACTCACAAACTATGTCTGACCAGAAACCACTGGCAGACCACACTCAATCTGGATGCAAGCCCGAGAGTCCCGCAGTAGAAACTGCAAGAAAGACGACAAAGCCTAGAGTCCCACTCCAGACTTCGACATACCTCCCTCTCAATAAGTCTAATAAGCAACATGTCAGTCTAAAAAAAAGACAATGCATGGGTAAAAAACCATATTCCCAAAAAAGTCATCCATCATGTGAATGAGAACACCCCTTCCCGAACTAGGAGTAATATGCCTAGCAACGCACATAACTTGGGAATGCAACGTAGAACGGATCATCAGGATATAAGGAGCACTAAACGGGGCTCGTATAGGCACCATATTAATGCATATTCTTGTCCAAACTCTCACACTATCTATGTTGAACCTCAGCAACATAATGAGTATAGATCGACACATGACCCTCTCAATAACTTCACTCACACATGTGATGTGAGCCAATATGCATACGACTATGAAAGACCCATGAGGTACAACTACCAAGGTAATCTTAACACAGGGTACCTAGGTCAAGCAAACTATATATCACCAGTAAATGAACGCAGATGCCCACCCATGGATGCTAAAAGTCAAAACATGCAACAGGATTATTTTCGGATGCAGCAAACAATAGCCCCACTCGCTGCACAATTCATCCAGGAAATAGTACACACACTGACTCTGTCTCACCTCAGAGCCCCTCCAAACATAACGTAGGGATAGTAACAAGTAACCATGTTAACCTCTCCTCCAATAACTCTGGTTTACTAACGATTATGCTCCTGAATGCTAGATCTCTCCTTAACAAAATAACATCGCTTCGCTGCCTGGCATACATAGAACGGCCAACACTAATAATGGTGACTGAAACCTGGCTTACTACTGATATACCTGACTCAAAGCTAGTAATAGACAACTACGACATCTATAGGAACGATAGAGTTGACAAAAGAGGAGGCGGCTGCTTAATATATGCCTCTAAATCCACTAACTCCAATACTTTCAATAACCCAACTACTGACAAACTCCCTGAATCTAAGTGGATAAGCATCCACACAAACGAAAATAAAATTCTCGTGGGATGTTTATACAGACCCCCTAATAGCCCTGAAATGACTGATATAGCTATTGGAGAAATACTAGAGCATGCAGCTACGCTGGACTTTGACTACAAAGTAGTTTGTGGCGATTTCAACTTACCTGGAGTAAACTGGGATACCTGTACAGGACCTAGAATCCATGACGAGCTACTACAAGCTATAGACGTAGGCGGATGGAAGCAGTGCGTACGCCTCCCTACAAGAAATGAAAACACTCTTGACTTAATCCTTTGTCATGAAATTGAGCCCATCTCGATAGAGGTAGGAAATAAACTTGATAACAGTGATCACAACATATTGTACTGCACGCTACCATTCCGACTAACAACTAAACACACACCTAAAAATTCCCCGGTGCACTATCAGTATAGGGACTATAAGAATGCCGATTGGGAATTCCTATCAGATCTGCTGAGAAGTTCTGACTGGGAAGAATACTTCATTAACAATAACTTAGAAGTATCACTCGATATTTTCTACAAAACAATTGGCTCAGCAAGAGACATAATCGCGCCCCTAAAATCTGCTCTAAAGACACCAACTCCATTTATAGACCGCAAAACGCGACTAAAACTAAAGAAATTGAAAAGGAAATACCATGTATTTAAGGAATTTAATGCGTTAAACCAAATACATGAAACTCTCAAACGGCTCGAAGATAAACACAAAATGATGTCACAACTTGAAGAAAATAAAGCGCTTGTGGGTAACTCCAAAACTCAGGAACTTTGTAGGATATTGCAGAGACGTCTAAAAAGTAGTAAAGACAATACTGTAAGCAGCTTGGAGCATAAGGGTATAATACACAATGATCCCCAGGTTATCAGTGAACTCCTCAATGAGTGGTTTTGCAATGACGCCAGAGTGCACCCAACCCCAAATTTCCAAATGACTTGCAAAAGCAACCACAAATTAGGCGGAATAGACTTTAATATACAAAATATAGACTCAGCGATTAAGACTTTGAAGTCTAATGGTAGTACTGGAACAGATGACATACCATCTGTCATGTACAAAAATGGTAGCACGGAAATGGTAGTCTTGTTACTTAGAATATTTACTCTCTCATTAGAAACTGGAACTTATCCTGAAGTGTGGAAAACCACATACATATTACCTAAGCACAAAGCAGGGGCCAAAACCAGTGTATGCAACTATAGACCTATCAATATAACACCGGTAATATCCCGAATAATGGAGAAAGTGGTTAAAGACCAAGTGTCAGACAACTTACTAGAACATGAACTTATCAATCCATCACAACACGGATTTCTTACAAAAAGATCATGTGTGACTTGTCACATAGACTTTTTCAAAGAAGTTACACGAAGTAGGGACAACAGAGAACTAGTAATTGTGCTCTATTTCGATATAACAAAAGCCTTCGACAGAGTTCCCCATAATCTGCTAGTCAGCAGGTTATGCTCACTAGGGATATGTGATCCTCTCCTGAGCTGGATAAAATCATTTCTCTGTGGCCGAAGTCAGGCAACGAAAGTTGGCTCGATAATCTCAAGGCCTAAACCAGTAAGTAGTGGTGTAATCCAAGGAAGTGTATTAGGCCCACTCTTATTCATAATATATATAAACAGTATCTGTGAATGCTTTAGTGTAGGTAAACCAATACTATATGCAGATGACTTAAAAGTGACGTATAAATGCAAGAACACAGATCTTGGAATAACAGTAAACGCCATACAGCAAGAATTAGAAAAAATGGATAGATGGTGTGACACCTGGCAACTCCAATTTAATGTCGAAAAATGTGGCTGGCTCTGCATAGGTTGCAACAACTTAGAACTTGACCTGACAATTCAAGGCCATGCACTTCAACGACTGGAATCTGTACTGGACCTAGGGCTGAAATATTCACATAACTTATCATTTTCTGAACACATCTCCAAACAAGTGTCAAAGTCACGCAGACTTATCGGCTTTCTACTCAGGAACTTCTACAGAAATGAGTCTAGAATTCTGTTGTACAAGGTTTGTGTGCGTCCTTTATTTGATTACTGTTCATTCATGTATAGTAGCATACGCATAGAGGACAAATTGAAAGTCGAGGGAGTGCAGAGGTACTTCACGTTAAAATTACTCGGAACCGGAAATGGTACGAACTACTCCACTAGATGTGATACCCTAGGACTAGAAACACTATGGCTAAGACGCCTGAGACTAAACTTGACACTTTACTATAAGCTTCTAAACCACTTAGTTTTTACCTCTACTAATGGCACTCGACTTTCAGATGACAATGGCTACAAACTAAGACACACTAAGGGTACAGTAGCTATCGAACAATGTAAAACAGCCACCAGGCAAACAGACAACAAATCTCGTTTGTAAAACTACTACCCAACACAATAAGTGGAATAAAATGGACGTAAACCGACAACATGAAAAAGGTATAACTCACCACAACATCACAAGGACAGATGAACGCTCGTTGGGCACCATATATCTCTCACCAACTGCAACCCACCTTTCCTTAGATAATGTGATGAACTTATACCCATAATGTTGCTGAGCAGTTAATATTCTCAACTCCTGTCGGAACAGCTGAAACTCATAAACCTTCCTAACGCTAAGAAAATACCCACAAGCAGTAGAAATCCATTAATTAATGCGTCCGAAGCTTATGTACTTACTCCCAACAATGACATTGCAGATCAAATGAGATAAACACATCACTGATTTCAAAATAACACATCAATGAACTATAATTCGAGGACTCTGCACACAACAAAGTTATGTATGAAAATTGACTTCAAGCTTTATTTTTTTCCCAGGCACTTATAATCCATCCACCAAAGACCTGGTTTTTTTGTTAATGCGAAGACAATACTCCTGTATTTCCTGTTGTGTTGCACTCACTGACAATCTAGCAGATTTTTCCAACTTTGCACAGAAATGATTGTATATAAGTGAAAAGGCTGTTTTATACTACTGGAATTAACATTTATCAAGTGTATGTATAATCTCCAGCGAACATGTAAAGCATATCTTGCTACTGGCTGTAAATTGTGATTAAATTATATGGTTCTATTTCTGTAACAATTTGATGATGCCTGTAAACTGGCGTCCCTCATGTACTGTACTATGAGAATAAATTTATTTATTTATTTATGTCTTCTGCTCGCAATGGCCAGGACTCACAGCCATAAAGGAGGACGAAGCGGACTGTTGAGCAGTACACACGCCCTTTGGTCGATAGTCGGATGTGTGGAGTGCGTAACAATGTGATTGTACACTTTTTGGTTATTTGTAGAAATTAGACATTGTACATAATTTTTGTTTAAAACGCTTCTTGTTGAAATACACTTGGCTTCCGTGTACGATTGGAAAATAAACTTTGCTGTTCCATTATGGGTAAACTCTTCTGTTGGAGACTTCGTCTTCTCTTTGGTTTTCTTTGGCTTACTAGCTCAGCTCTCACCGTGTTGTATCTTTCGGATTTATTGTAGAAATCCACTACGCTCAACCGAAGACAATTCTACAACCGGGACACAGCAGCTGCAACCTACTCCGTCCAAACAGCTAACGTCTCCGTGGGTTATATAAATAATTTGTAGCAGAGGACTTAAACTTTATTTCCAAGTAACCCTTTTGTTGATATAACGTGTCGTTGCATTTTTGGTAATATGCTGTTACTTAACATTCCATTGACTTGAATTTTATTTCTCATATTTTGTAATACTAGTGAACTCTAACATAAGTCCCCTACAGATGTCACGTCTACGCCAGAGACGGCGTAAACTGGCATATGCGAAACTAGCCCCTGTATTCGTGCTGAGATTTCGTCGGGGGATCAACCCGTTGGGGCTGATGGTACTTCCCAAGTAAGTGAAGCGGTCAACGTGCTCTACCACTTCACTTCCTGTTTCTAATCTAGGAGTCGGTGTAGTCCAATCCTGCAACATTATCTTACATTTTACAGGGGCTAATCCCATGCCAAACATGCAAACAAACATTCAGGTACAGGTTCCTGTCAGTCTTGCAATAGTACTTGACACTTAGCACGGAATACACCGTACACCAGAGTGTCAGCACGAGTTTGGCAGCCAAATAGTGACATTAGCTGTCATTTTGTTACTTGGGTTCTATGCTCACTGCATGAAGCTGGAGTTGTTTCGTTGCATTCGTTCCATTTATTGTTGATTTGGAACGCTTCTATCAACTTGTTGATTATTTTGCATTGGATATTAGAAGATTCCACATCATGATACTATAACGGTATTTTACTAGGATAGCGAAATTTTCACAGAGGGAAATGCACTTTAGCTTCACACTGATCAGGCGTTTCTTTTAACAAGTTATCACCTTCAAAACATTTACTAACCATTTTGTTTTTAATCCATTATCTTGGTTTCAATTTACTTTTATTTCAAATTTTTTGTTATACAGTTAGCCGCTTTAAAAGCTCGTGATGACGGAGAACTTGGTAAAGCAAAGGAATTATTGGAAGCGTCCAAGTGTATTGGTGAAGCGATTGTCAATATTGAAGCTGGTAAAGAAACATTCGATCCTGAAACCGACTTACCTCTACCACCATCGGAATACGAATTTTCTGGTGAAGATAAAGAGAATTCAAGTGAAGCTGTCATCGCACCGCCACCGACAGCAGCGAAACAAACAGTCCCAGATATTATGAAGACGCCTATTATCTGCTCAGAAAATATTTTGGTACGTATAGCCTATTATAAAGTATGTATAACCAGAATTACTTATATTCCCAGTGGTTGTTGGTGTACTCAGTACTTTCATCCATAACCCCACTTAAGATTGACAGATTCCACTTCCCTTCTCAGGTGTTATATCCTACAGTGTTTTGTGAGGTGTATAGCAGCTATTTATATTGTTATATTGTCATTTATGTCATTGACAGAGCTAAGATACAGTTGCTTATCGGGCATTTGAAGAGATGCATGATTGTATACGGAAGTGTGATTAGATTAGAAGTGGGTAAATCACTTTTGTTACTTGTTTGCATTTATCTCATTTCGAAATTATTTCAACAGGAAATTTTTCGGTGGTTATTTATCAAAGTTTTTATTTTTTTTAATACTGTTAGTTTCATTAAGGAAAAGATGAAAGAAATAGGCGATGATCCGTCACAAGATTCAAAAAGACGTCGTTACAATCGTATTCTTAATCGATATGAAGGATTACGCGCCTGTGAAAATGGATATACTTCCTTTGAATTTGAAGAACTAGTTCCTCCTCCAGGTTATCCTCCGTTAAATGATTGTTCTAAAATATCTAAAGGTGGAAAATCCACTAGTAGTAATGAATCTAAAGCAGCTTTACCAAAGCCTAGTTCTGGACAAGTTTCAGGAAAAAGTAAATCTGAGGCTGTTGTTACACTTTTAACTAAACGTCAGGATGAATTAAAAGAAGCTGCTAAACTTGCTAAACAAGCAGGTAATATTGAATTGGCCAAAAAGTATAGACGATCATCCCTGGGAATGAATCAAATGATACAAGCTGCTGAGGCTGGTTTTCCAGTTGATTTATCCCAGTTGCCACGACCGCCTACACTTAATGAATCTGCCGCATATAAGCCAATTTTAAGCGGATCAAACTGTGATCCACCTGTGAAGTATGCAGTCGCCCTCAAAACATCTTCGGGTAGGTTTCTGTGAATAGGCCTTTTATTCAGGTTGCTGTTTCTTCATACTATGCATGTTTTTTTCCGTATGAAATGAGTAATTGTTCTGGAATGATGTGAACACCGAGTCTGATTGAATCATTATGAAATAATTTACTCCGAGTAAATTCGTCTGAGAAAAGATTGTGGCTTACACAGTGAAGTGTTCAGGAAAACCTTATTTGGATTTGCTAAACAATGTCATTATTTTAAATAATTCTGTAATACTTGTTCTTTGTCTGTACGGAAATGAGTCTCAAAATAGATATGAGAACCCCAATTGCAAAATAATTTATGACTGATGTTGGGTAGACTCTGGTCTTCTTTTCGAAATACTGTCGTGTGGCCGCATATCCTTAGCCTCTCTGATGGGTGAGTTCTGTTCACTACCTTGATGCGGTGGGCGTCACGAGTGTTCTTAGAAAACTGAAAACAAGAATGCGAGTATTTGGTGTTGATCACCAGCTCACATAGCTCAAAATCCTCCTCATTAGCACTGATGCACTAGCTCTTTATAGATTTTTGGGTCCATAAAATGCTCATTATTCTCCATAGTACTTTTTCTTTCTTCCCGTACATTTCCGCTCATCATAGTTCCTTAGAATTTTTTTCCCTGCCTTTGTGTGTGACAACTTCAACTGCTGTAATTTTGTGTACGTTGAAATCCAGTTAGCTTATGACTAGACCGATAGACATGGAGGGCCACCTTGATTCCAAACCCATGGTGTACTTGAGCTTCAGAGTACCCAAGAATTGAATAGCGTACAAACCTGATTCGGTCATCAGAAACCATGGGAACGTATCTCCTGACGCTGCATCGCCACACTGCTTTGTGAATGAGACTTCAAGTTAAAAGCTCATAGGATGGTACCTTAAAAACATTCGCCTACTTCGGTCTGGAAGTCTGGTGTATCTCAACCCTCGCACAAGTGGAAATTCTACTAGCATGTACACTTTCACAGATTACTTTTCAGTCGCATATTCTGCAATTTAATCCTTTTTCATTTCAGTTTATAATTGCATATATATACCTTTTCGTCATAATTTCATCACCTTTACGTTTTGCGGTGCTTTCACTGTCTTTATCTGTTCGCTATCATTTGAAATCTCAGCGCATGTCTCTAATATTTCAAGCTGACAGTTAGTTGCCTTCGGAATATATTGACCTCTTGTTTGATATCTAGCATGGATATTCTAAAACCTGTTTCATCCGATCTTGCCCCTTACATCTTTCACAGACTAATCCGAATCAGGCGACAGACAGGTTTAGTCAGAATCCTAAAAGAACTCACATCCAAGATCCTAGTTAATTTCTTCTGCATCTGCAAGCGTGTAACATATTTTACTATCTAGAGAGTCTAAGCCACGTAAGGAAGTGTAGACTTCCTGGTTGGGGTCCTCGGGACGGTAAAAACCAATGATTGGAAACAATTGGTGACATGGCTCAAAATCGTTCTCAGTGGCGCAGATGCATCCACTCCTTATGACTTATGATTTCCAATGAAACTGCTTTGTTCTCCGTTATCACTATTCCTTTGTCTCACATCTCTGTTTACTGACTATATTATGCATTTCTTCTACTTTTTTCTCTTGCTTTGTGTGCTACGAAGAGGGAGTGTGGCGACTTGAACTGCCGCACATATGTGCAAAGTTCTATGTCGAAAACCGACCGACTATCTAGAGACCATGTAATGTGGGCATCCGGCTTAGTGGGTGTCAGTATCACACTGCGCGTTAGAGCTGAAACTGCATGACTTACCTGGATCACTTTCTTCATATGTTATTATGTAATTGTGCATTCATACTACATGGGGATTATTAGTCACTTCACATTTTCCTGACTAAAGGAGCTAAAAAGTGCTGGTTTTAGCTGTTTGGATTACGATATCGATCCGAATAAATAGAATCAATTAGTGTACGGGATGAAGGCTAGAAGGAAAGGAGTTGTATGCCTATTTGTATTGGATACTCTTAGAGAAAATAGACTGATCACTAAACTGCCTGTTATTGACAGTTCAAATTTATCATAACTATGGTTGCTGTCTTCCAGATAGTGGACTGTGATTTTCCGTTTTTAGACAATTTTATGCTATTACCAGTTCTAACACAAGTGTGACTTATTGTCAATAGCTGTCGAAAGAAATGGAGATAGATTGGTCACATGCTGAGAAGACCTTCGAGTGACATCACACTCCAGAAAAACTGTCGAGTGGGATATGAATGGTATACGACGAGTTGGCTGTGGACCGGAGTATGACATGGAGGAGATGAAAGCTTATGGGTAGTGGTTGAGCCAGCTAAAAAAAGACCGGAGAACAGAAAGAAATGGAGCCGGGGTGTTGAATTCGTGAATCCCACTCAAAACGCAAGGGAATAATAATATTATCAAGAGTGCGAAACCGAGAATGTTTGATGAGTAATTCCAGCTTCCTATGACCAAGCATTAAAACCCTTGGATGTCTGTCATAAACCTATAAAATTTATTGGTGGATTTTTATTTTGCGGATCGTTTCAGTAATATGATATACGCTGGTGGTTCAGCGGTAGGACGCCAGCCAATCGCTCACGCAGTCAGCCGTTTAATTCCAGCTTGACGCACTCGTAAACCTCAACTGGCTTGTAACAAGCTCGGAAAGGAGGGTAGGTTGGGAGTCAGGCTAACAATCTCACCTCGTAAAAAGTAATACCATTACCACTGGGACTTGAAAGCCTGAAGCCTCACCCCCTCACTATTTTCCACTAAGTACGCAAAAGCGATACGACTAAATAAAATACAGTTTCTGTCTTATTCTTATGTATGCGTTGTTTGTATACTTTTGCTTTGAGAAATGTTTACCTCTTATGTACCATGTGAAATTTTTCCAGCTTTTCGTTATTATTATTATTTGTTTGTTAATAATATTTATCTTCTAATTCATTAGGCGATCATCTAGTTCAGGTGTATTCAGAAATTTTATCAGAACAAGAAAAGTTGGTTAATCATATGATAACTGAACATCGTCGTAATGGCGATCAGTCTATCATTTCAAAACTATCTGATCTAATGAGTGTTAATACATGCATAAAGAAACTATTATATAAGCATAGTCATCAAGTCGGTATACTAACACCTTACTTTGAATATGCTAATTTGCCAAAATCAAATATTAATGCTGAACTGGGTGATGATGTCCTCGAGGTAACTGTTCTCCGTGGCATAGCATATCCACTTCCATCGCATTATTCTCATATTGATACATATGTTGATGTGGAATTATACATCAGTACATCTAGTCCATCAATGAAATTATCCACTAATATTACTAAATCTAGTTGTGAACCTGTTTATAGTCAATCGGTTAAAGAATTCCGTGTAAATACAAAAGGTCAGATATATAAACGTTTTGTTCAAAGTAATCGTTGTTTAAAAGCAACAGTAAGTTATATTATACTGCAATTATTAATATTATTATAATTAGTTGTCATTTCATAGTGTCTATCTTTGTGTTGTGTTTCTTGTTGTCATAGACGAGCAAGTAGTCATATCTATCAATGTTCTATAATTCTAATATGCGCATAAATTCACTTTCTTCGATTGTCTGTGCTGCTACTAGGTGGTGTTTCCAAATTCAGGTGTTAGTTTCCAGGGATTTGATTAGTTTCAAATTTGATCACGAGCTGACATCAGTTAGGAGACTACTGATAACTCAGGGAATACTGGACACCCTTCGACAGTACGCATCTAGCACCTTCCGATTACGAGGCGAACCCGCTGACCATTTAGCAACTGGGATGGAATTTAATAACCTATGCATTTTAACTTCTGTCAATTCTCCTGTAGGCTCTGGGTTCGGTCCCCGTTACATGCAGCCGGGGCTGTCCCAAACTAGGACGAAACAGATGTCCAGTACTCCCTGGTTAAACTTGACATCAATTAAATCCCTACAAACTGACACCTGAATTTGGAGAACATTATCTAATAATAAACTGGCGTTTTTTTGTGTGTGAATTTAATGACACTCATTTTATACTGATAAATAATTGGTTGAATATGATATCTGTCACAAATGGGGGTGGGTGGGTGGAATGTTATTTGCGTTTATCTAGTAAGACAGCCTGATCACAATTCTCACCAGAGGTTAAGTGACGGTAAAAATGTCGGACATATTTGAGTATAATTTTCTCTCCTTTTTTTCAAACTACACTCCCAACCAAAGTCCAATGAAGTTGGTAGTACTTCAATCAGCTGTTATTCCTTTTCTTAAACAGAATTCAGCTTTGCTAGTCGGAGTGAAACTGGTAATACATTTAATGGAAATTCACTTCTTAGCTAGGAAAACACCTTGTAAACTTCATTGCACAATAAAGTATTACCGATATCGGTTGATAAAATGGTTTCGTAGTTGTGATTGATTTTCTTGACTTTTTCAAGCGTAAAATAGCACAATTCTGGCCTAGTAGTCTTTTTTTTGGAAAGCAGAATTGTTTCTTAGGTCTGTTTGCCGGTTGGCTACTTTGCTAAAAATGGCGCTCTGAACGGTTATTTCGGAGAAAGTCCGCAATTACTTTAGCGTGTTCTCAGAAGTAGAGACTAATGAAGTAATTCAATATTCCTTTTTGTCGAATTCGTAATTGTGGCTAAATGCATCAGCGACCAAGTAGGTATTTCAACAGTCATTTTAGGTAGCATAATCAAGATCTTAATGACGTAATGTGCTATCGACTGTTTAGTGTTGTATGCATTTCATGTGAGACATGGCCACTAAAAGCGGAGGAACTGAATAGCCTAGTTGCCTTTGATCATAGGTATCTGCGTTCCTTGTCGTGTGTTAGGTGGTGTGACAGGTTGAGTAATATTGAGCTTAGGCGTCGTGTATTAGGTAAAGAGGGGCAATCAATCGATGAGGTTGTGAAGCTACATCGATTGAGGTGGTTAGACATGTGTTACACCTGCGTAGCCATCTCCTTCCTCGATTGTCATTATTTACTGAGATAGAATTGGGTTGAAAATAGTCGAATCAAAACCTGTCATCAATCTGTGATGTCCTCGACTGTTGGCTTGAGCCAACCACATGGGGAGTTGTGGACTGCCTGTTTGGCGTTTGTCGAAACGCCAAAAACCAACGGTTAGAGACTGTTAATGATATTACTCAACTGTTTTCAGTGGCGCAGATGCACTCACCCTTTATCATATTCCAGATCCACTAAGTCTTCATATTTCTCCGTGTTACTCTTCTTTCCCCTATACAATCCTGCTCATCGTAGTTCTTTTGAATTTCTTCTCTACCTTCCTTAATCACATGGAGCATGGCAATCTGAACTTCTGCATTTCAGTGAAAATTTTTACGTTGAAACCCAGCCAAGTTAGACAGTCATTACTTGTTAATTTCCACAGCTCTGTCACACGCCTGTGAGACAGCTACTCTTAACTATTGGTTTTCAGCAACTTTTCGTTCAGTCCTTGTTGTATTCATTGGTATTGTTAAATGAATTAGCACCCAACGCATCTGCTTTGCAGCTGGAGTAGCAAAATATGTGGTTACATTCAGAGTTTGAAATACTCCGTTTCAGCAGAAATATAATACTACCATGAGTTATTAGGAAAAGACACCAATTAAAATTTGTGAAATATGTATGTATATATATATATATATGTATATAATTAAGCTCATTGAAATAAATTTGAGTTATTCTTATTGTGTAGGCTTTAATCGGCCTCCTTTTTTGTGTACACTTATAATCAGATTGTAAGTGTTTTGTGGTCGTAGTACCGGAGAACTTAAGAAGAATTAAACTTGTTTGATTATATTTTCGGAAGAATTCAAAGTAGTAAATATCCTTTGGCAATCAAATGCTGTGAAACGACAAAGCTGTTCAAAGTGATACTTTCTCGTAACGATTTTCTTTTCGGAACACGTTGATTACACTCTTCTTCTTATTAAAATTCAATATATCTGCGTCAGCAACTGTAAGTGAATTGTTATTTTGTGTAGTGGAGCTGGAGTGAGAAAAGTTACTCATTCACTTGTGTTGAGATGGCTAGTGATCGTATGGTTTAGTACTACTTAACAATCAATTCTACTGTAGGAAAAGTTGCAGCCAATGAATTCTTTACTTGTTTGTTGATTGTTTTCACGATGTCATAACATTTAAGTTTAGGAACTCTGATGGCAAACTAGTCTGTTCACGTTTATGCATTCAACATGGCTTAACGGAAGTAGACGACAAATTGGGTTGTGACTCCAATATGGATAAGATTTTATTTTGATAAATCACACAGTGTTATATAGTGACATTTCAAGTTTGATGTTGAGAAACATGACTGATTCGTGCACTGTTGTCATCGATGGTGTAACAAATGCTCATCATTTGAAACCTGATTCACTGAGAGCGTGGTTAGCTCCATATGGAGCTATTAAACGTTTATCTATTTATGAAAAGTTAATATTTGCAGAGTTTGAAAACTCTACAGCCGCCGAAAGTGTAATTGAAAACGAAAATGGTAGTATGTTTCGAAATAATTGTGTATCAGTACGTTACCCACAACCTTGGGATATGATGGTTACCGGAGATCTTGTGTCCAAACTTGAATGTACTACTTCACAAGTGAGCGAAGAAAAAATTAACAATGAAGCAAATAATGAAACTGAATCATCAAATGAAAAGGCTTCTTCTGAAGCTGATAGTGGAAAAGAAATATTTGCACAAGTTAAGTATTTGGATAAGGATGAATTATGTAACTTGTACACTGCATTAGAAGATGTACTAAAGAAAAAAGGAAAAAAACCAAATCTCTTCCTTCAGGTCGTCCTTGGCTTGATGACGAGGCGAAAAGACTCTTTGCTATAAGAAATGAGGCATTGAAAGAGTTAGAGAAGAAGGAAAGCAAAGCAAATTTGGATAAATTTTTTCTTTGTGAAACATTATATATCAAGGCGCGGAACAGATGTCAGAAGGCCTGGATGCATAAGATAAATCAAATCAATCTTGATTTATCTTATGCATCCAGGCCTTCTGACATCTGTTCCGCGCCTTAATATATAATGTTTCACAAAGAAAAAATTTATCCAAATTTGCTTTGCTTTCCTTCTTCTCTAACTCTTTCAATGCCTCATTTCTTATAGCAAAGAGTCTTTTCGCCTCGTCATCAAGCCAAGGACGACCTGAAGGAAGAGATTTGGTTTTTTTCCTTTTTTCTTTAGTACATCTTCTAATGCAGTGTACAAGTTACATAATTCATCCTTATCCAAATACTTAACTTGTGCAAATATTTCTTTTCCACTATCAGCTTCAGAAGAAGCCTTTTCATTTGATGATTCAGTTTCATTATTTGCTTCATTGTTAATTTTTTCTTCGCTCACTTGTGAAGTAGTACATTCAAGTTTGGACACAAGATCTCCGGTAACCATCATATCCCAAGGTTGTGGGTAACGTACTGATACACAATTATTTCGAAACATACTACCATTTTCGTTTTCAATTACACTTTCGGCGGCTGTAGAGTTTTCAAACTCTGCAAATATTAACTTTTCATAAATAGATAAACGTTTAATAGCTCCATATGGAGCTAACCACGCTCTCAGTGAATCAGGTTTCAAATGATGAGCATTTGTTACACTGTTGACTGTCCATTGGATGACAGTCTAGGGGAGATGGCTAAACCCTGATTCCAAACCTCCAACGACTGGCGTATGAAGCTCACTGGAGCTCACCGGCAGACGTATGGACAAAGGGCTTGTTGGATGTCCTGGATGTCTGGCCCCATTCAAAAAGGCGTATGAACCGAACTGCGGTCACCGGCTGCCAATGGATAGTGGACTCCCTACTCCACTCCTACTGCCTTGTAGGTCACACTTGGTTGTGTAAAGGCTAGAGCTGCACTCTCGAACAAAAGGCCGAGCGATTCTGGGGACTTCACTCGTACCGAATTCCCATGAAACTTCATGAACTCTCTTACAAACGACTCTCATCATGCTACGGCGTTCCCGGTAAGCGACGCGCCCTGTGCTCACCCGGTGGCCAGTGTGAAAAGTAAGCCAGCTGGGAAATTAACACTTAGAAACCAACTATTTGTTGGCTGCTGGAATGTTAGGACGCTGTTGGATCCTGGTAGCCAGTCTATCACCCTGCGTTCTTTATACGACTACAAGGCGGACATAGCGTGTCTATCTGAAGTGAGGTTACCCGATCATGGCTCCCGCCGAATAACCGTACCTGGAACAGATTCTTCATTCTGGTTGCTTCATAGTGGACCCCAGAATAATTCCGGACAACATGGGGTAGCATTTGCTCTCAGTAACAAAGCCAATAATGCCTTAATATCGTTCGAACCGGTCAACTCCAGAGTTGCAATCGCTAGGTTCAAGGGTTCCCCGCTCGACATTTCTGTTCTCGCTGTCTATGCCCCAACCCTCGACTCTGATGAAAGTATCAAAGACGAATTTTATGACAATCTTCAAGAGGCAATCAACAAAATCCCAAAGCGTGACGTTCTCATAGTAGCCGGCGATTGGAACGCCCGCACTGGCCCTTCAGACGACGCGACAAAACATATACTAGGCAA